GATTTCCATTCTCAGGGATTTCTTATACTCGTATACATACGCTACTTTGTAACATTACAATATTGTTGAATATATAAAGTAACCATAAAATGGAAATAAATAAATAAGATAATTAATATAATATTTTATCTTTAACAGCTAATCCTATTAATTCCAGATCATTCTACATTCGTATCAATTAAAATGAACTTTATTTCTATAAGAAAGTTATTTACTGAATATGATTAACTTTAAAATATTAAGGAGAACTTGTGGTTCATTTCTATCAACAAATATTTTTAACTTTCTTGTAAAACTATTTAATACAATAAGTAGTCTATTGTACAGTTGTACTCCCTCAAACTAATTAGTTTTTTCTATACATAGTTCAAATCTAAGGAAATTCAATAAAAGTTTTATTTGTAGTACAATATTTTTTGTTTTAATTTGTTTAATATTGAATTTATTGTTTATAATCAGCATTTATATAGGCGTCTTTGACCTGCTGTTTGACTAGGTGTAACAAGCGACCCGCCCTGACGCATGCTTTTGCAATTAGGTATTATTCGAAGGAAACTTTGATCGCCAGATTTAAGTATTAAAATATTTAATCACGTATATATCAACCAATATTGAAAGTGTTTAATATACCTAAGTGTTACATTTTTGCATAATATAATTCACTATCGTTCTTCGGAAAGATGCGAACGAGGTGTGAGTTCGTATCTTATTAAAAACTATTACACCTTATTTCTTATTATCCTACTTGATTTTTTTACGATACCAAGACATAACGCTTTCGCGCTATTTCATAAATGTCGACATAATTCTATGTTGGCATTTTAAGAGTGTAAAATACCCTAAATGCTGCACATCTGGTACATATAACGTGAAACGAAAAAATCATTTGTACTAATACGTGTAGAAAAGGAAAGTCCAAGTAGGGCCGCCGAAGACTACGAAGATATCACACGTCATTATGAAAAAATTGTGATAGCTATAATGATTCTGCCAATCCAATAACACCCACAGAGGATAATTTTAGATAATTTCATTAGATATTTAGGTTGGTATGATATGTTATGGTTATCTAAGTATAAATATCTCATCAACTGTTCAATTAGTTTTCACGTGACCTTCCGCATAAACAGGCAATCATTTCGACGTTACCTTCATACACAAATAATTACAAACATTTTAAATGTACAGACATAAATTATTATTTAAAAAGCGTGAAAAGAAAAAAAAGTTAAGCTATCTTTTACGTATGGAAATACGTCTTATAATTATATTATAATTTGGTCATTTTGACTATTTAGCTTTTATAATAGCTATTTGATTTCCTTTTGGTTATATATTAAAAATAAATTAAAATATAAACTTATTGGGCACGTCCTTAGAAAGTATCATTTTGATATACTATTATACAATAAGAATTATTTAAATAAATTTATTGTAACGTTATATTCATGTATTCAGTAAAGATTTTTTTTTGTTTTTATATATTTGCGTGGCTCTATTTCAATCTGAAGGGTGGAATATGGCAGCGAAGTTACAAAGTACTAAGACATATCCATCATAATATTTTAGTCCTGACGACTGGTAACACTGGTGGATGGAGATTCTTAATTCAGATTTATCTTTTTTATGTTTGCTACCTTATAACTCCGGCAATTCTAAACCGATTTCAAAGAAATTGTCTTTTATCTGAAAGGATATAGTCACAGATTGGTCCCATAGAATTCTTTTCAAAGACAGTTTAGTAGTTTTGATTTTAAATCAGAATAACTGGTTTTGTAACAATTCAAGTCGGTTTTTTTGTGGGACACAATCTTTAATTATGTAAAATCTGTCTATAAGTGGTGGAATTATTAAATCATTACATCACCGAAATTGTCGAATATTTATCCATATTTTTATTGTTTTCATCATTACAGAGTATAACACAGGTATCAACTTAGTATAAGTAATATAATAACAATATATGGCACAGTATATGTATTATGATTATGTTTCCTGCTTTAAATTACATCTATAGACAATAATTACTACTTACTATCAAAGGTAAATCATCCACTTGTATATAAATTTTAAGAGCATAAAAATATAAACTCATTTAAACTTTTAATAAATCATTGCAGAATGTTCAATAACTCTCGATAATCAATAATGTATTTTCAATAAATAATATGAAAATGAAATTGGTAATTTGCGAGATGTGGATAGGTTTATGACTAATCTAATGTATCTATTTTATAATGCAATGTGTCCAAATGCTTTGAAATAAAAATTGTATCCTCACATTTCCGATGAAACAATATATTTAAACATATTTTTTCAAATTTCTCTTAGATAAATGGAGTTAATAGCGTTATACAATTAGGAATTCGTGCATTTTTCATTTCCATTGTTCTCTAACGTTCAATAATAAAATCAAAACAAAAGTCTATACACACGTAATAATAATCGGTTTCCATTTGTCCTCGTATCCTATATTAAAGTGGATCTGGCTTCAGGACTATTTTAGATTAATCAACTGTTAATAAAGTGAGAAAGCTCTCTGATAAAGGAGATTTTCTGGCTAACATAAAATGTTTTGATGCAGGCGACGCGACGTCGATGGAGAGTTTGCTTCTATATGCAGGTATTGATTGACAGTGCTGGTATATACCTACTTACTTATAGTATAGAATATTTGTAGATGGATATAAATATTAAGAGGTCGCAATTTGGAATATCAGGATAATTATAAATGTTAGAATAATAAAAATAAAAAGCTTGTAAAGATGTCGGAATGTTTGTTATTCAAACATGCTTAAATGGCCGAACTGATTTCAATACTCATAATATTTGGGGCATACACGGGCCATATCTTACAATAACCTATTTAGAGCACTTTTAACTTAGTTTAAATAGTATTGGTTACGATGCAAAAACATTAAAATATTATTCAATTATCTCTTTTTTTTTTTTTTGCTTAGGTATATTTATGGCTCTCTATGTTAAATATGAAAGTTCTAAATACTACGTATTTTATATGATACCATATGCGGATAATATTCCTGCTATTCGCATATTCTTCTATAATGCGAGACACTTGACTCCCTCATTTTTCAACTCGGCTCAGTTTGCTTAGAGGAAAAATACAGACGTTATTAACATGGTCTCGGCGAAGCTGATGACCTCTATGAGAGCTGGCACTAAGGATGTGGGCTCTTATACTATAAATGATGACACATAAGAGCAATATTTTGTAAGTGAATCCTTCGTTAGATTTCATCGTTTTTAAAGTAGGCAAGTAGAAAATAAACAGTGAATGCGGTACCATCTAAGTATTTTGGGAAATTTTCCAAATTATATTTTTGATGTTATCAAATTCTACGTCTAATACGATAAAAAATATGTTCATGACAATAAACCCTTTTAGATTAATTAAATACATTTGTCGTGTGTTAACGCTGATGACGAAAAATTCCTTAACTAAATCAAATTAATTCGACTGTCGACCTTAGGTTCGCGCCCTGCATTTTGGATATTAATATGCTCGGCGAAATGTCACCACATCCAGCAAGTACTACAAACATGGTGTTTCGATGAAAGTAATAAAATATAACTATATTTATATGTTGTAAATATATTACAACATTCGTTTGTTAGAAAATAAAATTGTACGAAATTAATTTGAATAACGGTGGCAAGCTCACCCTCTGTCACGTTGGATTCCAATACGCTTGGAAAAATGTGGGCATGTCGAATATAAATTACATTTATCAATGCTTAGTCTTGAGCACACTTATTTATTTGAATATAGAAATTTTTATTTTTAGCCGCGTTAAAATAAAATCATAACATCCTTATCTAATATACAACCAAAAAAGCAAAAGTTGAGAAAAGTTTTTATTTTTTGCCCGTTGGCATGGAATGAAGACTTAGTAATTACAAAAATTTACAATATTAAATAAGATTTATTTTTATAGAATTAAAAAGTCATTAATTTCGTCCTTGAGCTGTCAAAGTGGACTTTCTATATTTAACAATTAACTACGGACATATATAGACACATGCTGGTAGTATAACATCAATTTACCACATTACGTATACAGTAAGGTATTTAAGACCGGTGCTCAGCGATCAGTTGCACGTTTGCTTATTGGAAATAATTTAATTTGGAAATCCAGACTTATATATTCGATTACAAAGTTATATTAAATTCTAACATCGTATCCGTTCGATATTCAATATAATTTCAAAGTTTACTTACACATGCATAAACATAATATTTTCAATAATCTTCAAAAGTTATGAACTGAAAGTAATCAAATTATTTTTCGAGATAATTAAATTTAATTCTCTTGAGTACCATTATTGATATTTTACGAAACGGCTGTTAATAACAGGGCTGTCAACTTTGAGCTGTAGCATGAAGCAATTAAAGAGAGACTTTTTGCCTAATTAGTACTAAAAGACTAAGCTAATGATTTGGTGACGGAGACCACCCGAGAATTAATGTTAAAAGTTTTTGCCGATTGTGGCTATAATTATAAGTCATTGCTTTAATTTACTTAAGCACTTTCACTATAACGAACATTCAAGAGTCTACTGTTTTGTAAGCAGCACTTAAATTAACTCAGTGACACAAACTTTGGCCATACTGTCATCTAAGTTCCTATTACAGATGTTTTTCAGTATTTGGTTACTCAATAGTTTAGATTCTAGGGTAAATAAAATTGAAACAATACATAAATGTCGAAATTACGATATTAAAAAATAAACAATGTCTATTTAAATTACTACTTAAAAATATTTATTACTATATTATATTGTAATATTATTATTAACTAATCACATTAAAATTTTAAAATGACAGTTAAAAACCAAAGCTTAAACGAGGACAAAATTACTGAATATCACATAAATTTGAATAGTGCGTTTTAAAATGTTTCCATTAAATTATATAAATTTAAAAAAAATTATATTCAAATTAAAATTGACTAACTCGATTTTTCAAAATAGAGTCTTACCTTGTTTCTAGTAAAGTTAGTTACGAACGCGTTGTTGATTCGCGCCAGAAAGCACAGCGCGCGTCTATACCATATCACCGGCGAGCCGACACTGCCCGGCGCTCTGATAAACAGTGATAGCGCGATAGCGTTCATCCACGTCACTTTCCATTTTTGCAAAGGTAAGTGCAATATTGTCCGCTGAAATAAAACAACTTTTTTGACGACCCCTTAGAGCTGTGCAGCTTTTTACTTGCTTACTTACTTCAACGCTGCTTCAAGAAAAAAAGCTCCTACATTATTCCAATCTAAGGGAAGAGCTTTTATAAATTGGCTCGAAACTTGTAGGTAAGAGTTGTCCTCTCCAATTGTTCGTTGTTTGGCATCTATTAACAATCATTATGTGCTGAAAATTAGACATTAACATAAAGCCGAATTACTGCTATAATAGTAATTAGTTAGTCAAAAAGCTCATATGATACTTTTGTTTTCTTTTTAACAATTAATTTTTTTAACAGACAGTCTTCTAACAAAATGTACTGTTTTTAATAATTCAATTAACTCCAACATTAACAACAATTAACAATTAACTCCTCCAACAATTAACAATTAACTCCAACAATTAACAATTAACTCGGTCCTCCAAAAACAAAAAAAAATATCATTTTTAGATGCTCAATTTAAAAAAAATATTTTGATAGAAATATTAGAATTTAATATAACTTTTGACTTGTGGTTAGGTCATCAATTCATTTTTGTATGGAAAAAATGATTGCAATTTGATACCCTTAACTATTTGATAATACATAAAGCTTATATATACAAGTGAACTATTCGTTTGTTGCTGGCTTTGATAGATAGTCTCTCTTTATATTGAGCAATATATTGATTAAAATCAGTTTTCTACCTATTTTATTAATAAAAAATTAAGTTATAACTACTCCTTCATTTGAATTACCATCGAAGCTAAATAATCGACTAAGTGTTAATTAAATATTTCCTTAAGTCAAAGTTTAGCTGAAAGAATTTTGGATTGACATCATCACGATAAAAATATAAACTAAGTTAATTAATATTTAAGTTACTTATCCAAGCACAAAATTTTTTGCCTTGTTTCAAGTAAAACTCCATTACTCATAAAAGTGCTGTCAAACATTTCTGCGTTTCCTTGTGTTTAACGCCATACTGTAGAACGAATACTTTGGTGAAGTATTCCAAGGAATCTAGAACATCTTTCAAAATGACACAGTAACAGACTTCACAAACGGGCAAATTTTGGAAACGAACTTTTCTGAATTCGCCTGAGTCTGGATATTCTGGGATATGTCCACAGATGTTGGTTGCCTGATTCATCATAACACTTAACTTGAGGACTTATTATTATACTTATTAATATTATACTTACTTTTCTCAAGTTACTATTAGTTTTAACATTACGAGAACGAGATTATTACAATGTATCTCGTAGTGTTTAAAATTATAACCTTTTCGTTTTTTAGAGTTCCGTACCTCAAAAGGAAAAAACGGAACCCTTATAGGATCACTTCGTTGTCCGTCCATCCATCCGTCCGTCCATCAAGACTCTGTTTCTTGGGAACTCATGGAGGTATCAAGTTTATATATTCAATATAATACAATATTATATGCTCAGGTTAGCAATCTTTTAAAGCAGTAAAAAAAAAATCAAGCTTCTAAATCGACGCAATCAAAAGATACGGTCGTTTATGTTCCATTTATATCGTATATATGACATTCGCAGAAGGAATCAAAACCTATAACTTCTCTTTGACCTAGAATCATGAAATTTAGCAAGAAGCAATATCATGAAGCACAAGTAAAGGAAAAAATCCGAAAACAGTAAATTTGTAGTTACTTTACAAACAAAAAATAAACTCGATGATTTTGTACGGAATCCTCGTTGCGCGAGTTCGATTCGCACTTGACTGGCTTTTTTTAACAGCTATTTATTTTTATTTTTCCTGTCACTGATCTTATTCATTAATTTACACTTTATTATACCATTGATATCCTTTGGTTTTTTCTTTGTAAATTTTAATTTCGAAAAACACGGAAGCGATGCTTTGTAATAAGATAATTATTTATTTAATATTAACTATAAAAACTGATAAATCCAGATTTATCAAAATACATAACCTTGAGTTTCATAACTGTGGATATCCTAACTCGATGACTATATTAACTAATAACTCTATCCAATATTATTGATTTTTACATTTGTATATATGTTGATTTATTTATTTTACACTTTATTGTTAAATGTTGATTTATATAGTTCTAGCTAATTTATTGCATTATCTAGAGTTTTAGGAACTACATCAGTGGATAAAATGATGATAGGAATGATTGTTACAATTATACTTATTATTATTGGACTATATAATCTAGTATTTTTTAATAGAAGAAAATGGAATGGTAATACCGTCTGCGCTTTCAATATACACTTACAGGGTATCAGTGAGAGACAAAATGTGTAATTGAATACAGACCAGTTGCTTTATCATGACGAATTTGACAAGAAATAACCACGATGGTTTCCAGGAGGAACCGCGTAGAAGTCGACCTGATAGGGTCTACTATTAACAATGAAGCTTTTAGACCTCATTACTAACCCTTTCTGTGATCAGTTGGGTTACTCTTAAAAATAAATTCCAATAAATCGATATTGAAATTGAGACGTTTCGCACTCTCGAATTGCAATAGTAGCGACATAATGGCTCCATATTGTTCTGATAGATGCATATTAGTGTTACTTGCCAATGCAAACTATTGTAAACAGATCCCAATTATAAACTAATTCCTAACTGTTGTTTCATGAGAGCAATAAATGAGAATATAAAATTGTCATTGCTAATGAATTGGATTGATATTGGTATTAGATTCAAGAGTAGACATGCTGGTGTTGTACTCATGGTCATGTAATAGAGTGCAATAGATAATAGTGTAGTAGGCCATTATTGTGACCGATAGCTTAAAATATGCGAATTAACAGTCATTTATTTCTTATAAATTTCATTATATAATCATAGAAATAATTGACTTTATAATTATAATAGAATTAATTCGTCATTATCACCAGATGTAGTAGCAGTTACTCTACTTTGATCACTATGTTCTAATCACGTTTCTGCTATCCTGTAAGTTTTTTCCCCAATACTCATAATGCCACGATTAGTATTGAAAATACAGCTTTTGTCAGGCCAAGTTCCAGCTCTGCAGGTCTTTTAGTATTTAAATATTTATAAATCATTTTTTTTATATTAATTCTATAGACACCTATAAATACTGAAATCTGAATCATGCGAAATGTCAATTGAAAAAAGGGTTCAAAGATAGATGACAAAGTAATTAGCTTTTGAAGACTTTCAATTAAAATTCTTTATCTTTTATTTCTACAGATTTGATTAAAATTAAGGAATAGAGTTAGCTGATATAATCAAAATAGATATAATCAAAATCTCATTTATATTCAGAAATACTGATGTAGTGGAAAATATCTCGAATAACTAGTCAAAAGAGCAATTTAGCGTCAACATTAAGTGACGCGAAGTAATCGAATCCTATACGAGTCATTTGCAGTATCGACCTAATAAAAACTGACCAATGGATCGACGGCTGGACGGCCTACGGCGTTGATAATCTATATTCATGAAAACCTGATTTCCATTCAACCCTCGTAAGGAAGAATCACATGGATTTTCCGTTCAAATTGTCGTCTTGAAAAATCAGATTGCCAAATTCAATGGTAGGGTGCACATACAAATACATATACTACTATAGTAAGTACTTAGATATCTTTGGAGTTTGTGTGAGTTTAATTCTCAATGTATAATAATAATTTATAGATTTTATGATCCCTAACTGACAAAAGTATAAACACTATATAATAATATACGGTTTTTACGGTTTTTTAATGGGTGATAATGGAATGGTAACTCACTCGCGCTATCAATATACACCGGCGGGGCACCAGTGAAGGATGATAGGTGAGGATGAAGTGAATCGTGATCGTGAATACGAATTCAACAAGAATTGTTCACGATGGTTTCCAGGGGAACCACGTGGAGATCGACCTAATAGGGCAAATTTCTAGCAATGGGGCTGCCAAACTCCATTGTCAACAATCCCTTTCCCCCCGGTTTTTATAATTGGTTTCCTAAAGGTCAAACCAGAAATTTAATATATGTAGCTGCTTCTAAAATTCATACATATGAAGTCGCTGGTAAAATCCAGTATTCAATAGAACAGCTGTATAAAATATTGGATTTTAGCAGTGACTTCATATGCGTAGAATACTATATCTATTTTAAACTTTTATTAATTTATTAAAATCAAGCTATCGTACTTTTAGTTACATAAGTAGAATATATATTAATAATAATTGTAACACAATTACGCCAATCGTCTGGTCCTCAAACTAGGATATCCTGTGTTGTGATGAACCAAGTAGTAAAACACCCAGACGAGCAAATTAAAAAAAGTTTATTTTCTATATTAGATTGGCCGGGAATTGAACCTGGCAGTACATTATGCAAAACAACAAATCCACCATTGCACCACGTATGTCGTCATTAAATTAGTGTTTAATTACAAATATATAACATTATGTATTTAAATTTGATAACATCACACATTATATTATCAAATACAATAATTTCTGTGTTATGGTATATACCTATGTATTCTCATTAGAGTTTCAAGTATATACAAACAATGAAGTGTCCTCCCTCGACTCCGCATTCGATAATATTAATTAACTAATGAACCATCGATTTTGCACACTCCATTTAAGTATAGTTGTTTGTATTGACCACTAACTTAATTGTATGTTCGATTAAGATACATTGATATGCAACTGATTTATTTTAATGAACATGACGTATAAAATATAGCTTTATTTTTTATACGATCAAGTAGTGGAGCATCAAATTAAACGTACTCATAATAGTGTTAATTGATCGATGAATGAATGAATGAATATTTATTTGCAAGATATATGGTAAATATACAGATAGATAAAATAATACTAAGTCCACATATTTCGCTACAATTAGGCATGCAAAATTTTAAATACTTAAATATTAAATTTA